AATTCAACTGGGCTGCTAAGAAAATAGAAATGTGATAACTCTGATTAGATGTGACTTGCATAAGACCACTCACCTTCAAAGAGAGCCCCCAGAATAAAAAGTAGTTGTCTAGCATCTAAAAAGGCATTAGTGCATGTAAAAAACCCTTCAAAACCCTCACTGAATATGACCACAATCAAAATCTGACCAGACATGGAAGCGAGAAATAGTGATCAGATTAATCGATGAATAGGATTTCTCCCCTTCCCTGTCTTTGGTGAGAAGAACCAGTCTGAGGACACAGGTAGAATAATAAAGTGGTCTGTGGACAAACAGCACAAATCACATTGACCAGCGATATCAGGAGCAACTAAAAATAAACCTTTGGGTAAAGGTGATACATGGCATATGAGAATCAGGTCACAAATAGGTGTTAAGAATGTAATGTAACCTTAATATACCAGTGAGGTAACTGGAATGGTCATTTAAGAAAATGGATTCAAAGAATATTTTGTTGCAAGTATCAAAGGGTAGTTGATAACACTGCCTTATACAGGTAGATTGTGAAAGATGCAAAAACCTTTGTCAAATAGCCAGGTTAAAAGACGAGTTATGGTTGGCACTTCTGATCAAAGTGGGTTCAACCTCCTCTCAATACATCATTGCTGACAGGTGAGTCATTTCCATTGAAAAATGTTCATTGTGGTGCTAAAAAAGACTGAGACAGATACATGGCAACCTTAGGAATCAAACTCATATGCCATGTGAAAGACTGAATAACCTCTATGTCTGAAGCTTGAGCTTCTGGATAGTTAGATGTACCACGTCAGATCATGGCTGTCTCCACAGAGATGGCCTAAGAAGAAGTGGAAGAGGTGTACACTCTTGAAGGTACTGCAGAAGCAGAAATCAGGGTGTAGCTGCCAATCAAGTGCTATCAACAGGACCCAACAAAGGGTTGGAACAAATCATAGTTAATACCTTGGGTAACATATGAATTGGAGGGAAGGCCTAGAGATGTAATCCTGTCCTGACAGAATGCATCCATTGCCAAAGCATGAAGGTGAGATATTGGAGACCAAATTGCTAGTAGTTGTGTGTTTCAATGAGAGGCCAACCCACCAATCAGAGTTGCTAAATGAGAGCCAATCCGACAGAACCTTGCAATGCAGCATCTATTCTGTTGTGAGAATCTGTTTGAGTTTACACAATTGATCTGCTACTGCAGTCATCACCTGTGGAACATGGCAAGCTAGTAGAGTGATATAACAGGAGTGGTCCTGAGAAAGGAGGTCCAAGATTAAAAACAAGGAGCCCTGGACCGAGTGCCTCACTGATGAGGAACACAAGACACCACCACTGAATTGTCAGAGTGAAGTCTGACAATTTCCCCCTTAATAAGCCCAGACCATGAGACATTGCCTTTTGAAGAGCAAGAAGGACTAAAACATTATGTAGGGAAGCTTTGTTGTCTGTGTGTAGACCCTAGAATTCCTGACTGTTGGTATTTGTACCTCATCCCTGAAGCAAGGCATTCATGAAGAGATAGAACTGTAGACAAGGTGGTAGCAGAAGAACCCATAACTTAGTAGTGTCCTGACTTAACTCCTCGAGATTGAAGAATGATCCTGACTAGGGAATTGAGGAATTCAGTGAATGGATGTTTATGATCCCTTGGTTGCATAAAGACCATTAAAAAGATCTCTTGTACTCTCATCCCAAAGGCATGAGGGATTGGAGCAATGCCCAAATTCCTGGAAGAGATAGAACTATCTGTGCAGTGGGTGAATGAGAGGTGAGTAAGAGTCGGTCTTCCTGTTCAATAGCATTGAGCCAGAAGGGAGTCAGCTGAGCCCGACTGATAGACATGATGAAAAAGACAACAATCCAGACTGATGACATATTGAATTGGAGCAAGAGTAAATGTCTCAGTTCTTAGAATGAAGCCTGTTTTGGTTCTTTCTGAAAGTAGAATCAGAGTGTGATATTCTGACAATTGAAGAGACTGTGCCAGTAGTAACCAGTCATCCATTGGAATGGTGTGTGCACAGTGCTGTGGAACAGAGGTGATGAGAAAAAAATATGTACAATTCGGTAGAACCCATGTGAAGTCGATGTTAGTCTGAAGGTAAAAACCCTTAACTCCAGTACCTGACCCTTGTGCACAAAAAACGCTGATAGTGGTGGGATGCCACTACTATGATAATTTGCAGATAAGAGCCAACTACAAAGAACTTGGCATCCACAATCCCAGTAAAAAATGTTAAATCAGATTAAGGAATGAGCAATTTGTGAATTTTGGATAACACAGGCTAA